AACGTTAAAAATACGAAATTTTTAAAATTGAAAAAACTACCTGGTAAATCATAATTAGATAAAGAATTTTCATTCATATACATTAAGAGGTATGTGCCATAATTAGGAGTCGAAAATTCAGTACCAATAAAATTGGTGGTGATTGTTTCAATGACCATATTCAACTGTTTCCTAGTTTCACTTAATGAGACGTAATCACTTTGAAATACGTTAATCATTGACATTATAATCTCCATAATATCAGCCAAGAACTTTGTGACTACATAAAATTCAGTATCAATTGAATCATATAAAAATTTTGCCATATTAGAGACACCCGATTGAGATTCTAATTCAGTATAAACATCATCAATAATCATATGAAAGTTGTGGATGACTTGTGCCCAGGAAAGCCAACTTGTCTCTTTTTTGTTCAATATAAATAAATCAGGATTGTCTATATCCTCTTCAATATCTCTTAATTCATACATTTTTCTGTAAGAATCAGAGAAATAAGTGTAAATTCCCTTGACTAAGTCTTTGTACGTTTGAAAATATGGAATATCTTTTGTCGCATCATCTATAGCCATGTGAACACGATGTACAACACAATGATTGGAAGATATAAAAGGATTTCTTTGTTTGAGCAAAGTGAAAAGTCCATAATGCACCCCTGAAAAAAATACAAGAATATAAAGAATATTATAAAATATAATAAAAACAAGTATGAAAAAATTTTATATATTTATAGATTAAGATATATATTAACATACCAGAAATATTAGAAGAACCAACGCTACCAAAATGTAATAAAGTTGAAGTATTTAAACCTTTTTGCGAGATAAAATTATCAATTGCAGCCAAGAGAGATTCAGGAGAAGTGTTTGAAATTTTTAATAGACCCAAAAATCGTAACACCGGTAAATCATCCACAACATGTTTAGAAGCCAGAGTCAAAGTTTTCTCAGATGTTGAGGAATTCGAATCACTTTCATCGACCAAAAGACTCCAACATAAAGATTTATTTATTTCATTGACAACAGCTTTTTCGATTATTTTTGAATTAATCTCAAGAAATTCGTGATTAATAGATCTACTTGGATGTGTAACATGATTATGAGGTATAGAAAGATCTCTGAAAGAAATTTTATTTTTAGAAGGTAGCTTGGGAGGACGAAGAATTATAAGTTCTTTATTGGTGCTATTATTAGTATCATTTTGATTTTGGGATTGAAAAGTAATAAAGTCCGTAAGATCTTTAATAACATTAAGAGTAAATTTATGTTGAGAAAGAAAGAAAGTGTTTCTTAATTGAGATATAATATTTCCTTTGGATAAATTATCACAAGAAGAATTAATAGTAGTAGTTTTTTCAGTTTTTTCAGGTTTTTCAACTTTTTCAGTTTTTTCAATTTTTTCAGGTGATAATGGTTCTAAAGCAGCCTCTTTCGACATGGCATGTTCTTTTGAGACTTCGTGACGTCTAAGATAATCAGCTTTATACATCGTACATCCGGTTGTAGACCAGAGTGTTGTTTTAATTTTAATTTTTTCGCAAATACTACAAAACATGACAATCTGTCGAGATCCTGATGAGTCGCCATTAGGAGGAACACGCTCTTCTATTCTTAACCAAGGAAACTTTGATTTCCAAGAGTCTTGAAAAGTAGCGGCCTTTCTAAGACGTTGAGTGATTGGTGAAATTTGGTCCTTTTTCCGAGTGTTACGAATCGGACCACCGGCATTCGAGTTTTGATCTTTTGCTTTGCATAAAGGAGATTTTTTTGTTTGTGAATCGCTATTGATCACAGCATCACCACTAGTTGATGACTGATGTTGAATTTCAGTATTTTGATCGTTAAAAGATTCAAAAAACCGAGTTAGATCCGATTGAGACATGTTTACCGAGTAAAAGAAAATAGAGAAAAAAGCAAGTAAAAAAAAAAAATAGGAAAAAAAAGACGTTATATTAAAAACTACCGGTCATGGTGATCGTTTCTAAGAATGTTAATTTATTGTTATGCATAGGTACAACACTGCATTACGGCTGTGCATATGAAAATACAGCATACGTACTTTCTCCGATGATACGCACACACGCACGTAATAGTATTATAATAGCAGATAGATAGTGATAGTACGTACGTACGCACGCACGCACATATGTACGTATTAAGTCTAGAACTAGTCTGACGCATATAGGGAAATCGACTAGACCCTTGCAGTTCAGCATGTCTGGCATGACAAGCGAGTCCAGTCCTAGATTAGGAATCATACAAACTTTAAAGTATTAAAATTTACGTTATTATTTTTTTTTCTTAGATTTTATTGATTAACTGAATTTAATTCCTGTAATCCCAGGTTGTAAGATCATAGAACTAGATGCTCATTCATTCATTCGCTCATTCGTTAACTCATTCGTTCATTTATAATTTTTATACGTAATATTATTATTATATAATCTGATCTATTAAAAAAAAAAAAAAAAAAAATTTTTTTTTTATTTACAGCACATAATTACTTCTAAATACCTTCACTTTTCCAAATGTGTCCATATTTTTCTATATAATTTCCTACAATAAAACATTCTAATTCTATGAAAGAAACACCGAGTTAAAGAAATGTGATATGCAGCTATTGGTTATATAACTAACATTAAGAAACTATATATAGTATATGTTTGTGCTCATGATATTTCATTCTATGTTTGTTTCGGTCTTTAGACCGGTTATAATAGTATTTACTAGTCAATAGTCAATAGCGATAATATTTCAGTAGCTTTCCGGTTATATGAAGGGCCGGGTTATATGAAGGGCCTTCCGGATATATAAGGGGCCTTCCGGCTATATGAGGAACCGGAGATCTACAAAGTTAATTTCCCGTAGTGTACATCATGTCTACACCGATTTACGCTACATTAATCAAATTTTTATTGGGTATTGCGATAAACAGGATCGATGCAATCCCTAATAATAAACAGGGACGTGCTTTGGCCTTTAACTTTTGGGTAAGTTACCGAATTGGTGTTACTCACACTAACCCTAAATCTTAGCCCACTCTTAAAAAAAAAGCCAAGACCCCAAAAATTTTTTAAAAATTTATCGTCATGTCCAAATTTCAGCATCAGCCAATTTCAGCATCAGCCATATTTCTATTGCTATTGTAGTACAGAGATTTAGAATAAAAGTTGTCTACCACTGTACTGATTGCCATAGAGGTAGTACAAAATTTGGCACAGAATGTAATAACTAAATTAAATTTAGTGATACTACTATACATATGTGCGGACTACGTATAAGATATGGTGAGTGGTTGTTACATGTTTACTGCATATAAATACGTAGCAGCCGGCTTTCTATTTGTTTCCTAATAAATTTCTTGGTGTAATCGAGTTTCTCAATCGTTATTGTCTTTTGCTATTTTAAATTCTGTCATTTGTACATACATATATTTACACTATATAAAGCAACTTCGTAGCTCCTAGATTTTCTTTCTATTTTACATGAGTAAATACTAACGCTAAGAATACTATGTAAAATTATGTCTATCATTCTATCATACTTGAAAAATACTACGTAGGAATACTAATATCATATTTATCATATTTGAAAGAACAAATTTCTTCACAAAAATGTCGGATGTAAATCTTTACATGTAATCCGACAATATCGATATTACCTTCAAATATCGATACGTACAAAAAATATGCCTCGAATTAGAATTAGACATTGTATTTGTTCCATTTTTATAAGTCCAATGTTTCATAAATCCAGTCGAACAAAATTTGACCCACTTTTATGGTATTTGCCAAGTGAAAGTCCAAAATCTTGGCGACAATATACAAAAAAAAAAAGAACGTTAGCATGGTTGCTTTATTTGGATAATAAAATTTCGAACCTTCTCGTAATAGGTTGAGTAACGTAGTACACTTCAAATCACTATAAAAAGAAGTTCATTTATGAATCTTGGCAATAGAAAAAATTATATAATTGTTTATTTATCCGATTCACAGCCTAAACGCAGAGTTTAAGGTCAGTTTCTTTAATCCCCATTACCATCACGAATGAATGTAACGTTTTTGATCTTTCTTAACAGAACTTTTTCACTTTTTTTATTTCCAATTCTCCGAACAAATCTTAATCTTGTGCAGGACGCCGATCTTGAATTGGCGTATATATTATGTTACACTAGCTAAATAATTAAATCGTGTCGGTTTAGCGAAAATCGACACGAAACGTGCTTTTGTTCTTTCAACTTTTTGTTATTACCTACTATTTTCGTAACCTATATACAGGTTTGAAAATTTGAATTTATATTATTATTTAATATTATTTCTGTACTTTTAATTAAAATTTTAAATAGCATATATTATAATATATTATAATAGGTTAGAATTTTTTTTAAAAAAATAATAATAAAATTTCTGAATAAGACAAAGGCTCCAAAGATTTAAAATTTGAATATAATTTTTATATCTTGAAATTTGTAAGTTGTCTTGAATTTTAATTATGTATTTTAATTATGTAATTCATTTTAAAAATTACTTCATTTAACATATTTCTCATATTCAAGTGATACTATTACGATGCCTTTCTTAAAAACCTTTTGTGGTATTTCTGATCTACAAAATGGTAAGGTCAATTTAATGATCGCCTAAAAAAATTTTGACTGTCTTTCTGACTCTCGATTTTATGAATTTAGGTGTAATTATGGTTACTGCAATCTCTTTGGTAATATTAAATTATCTATAATATATTATATAAGGTGATAAATATTAACTTGTAAATTTACTTTTTAAAGTTGAATAAGTCTTCCGGATTTTTTGGAATTTCAAGTATAATTTATGATGGAAATATATTATCAAATATTTCTTATATTTATTCAATGATTATAACTATAGTGTTCGTATATTGTCTTTTTTACGGCATATTAAAGGTAATTTATTATATCATTTAATCTTAATTATTTTGATTGATTGATTTAATAAATCAAATCTTAAAATAGGAAAATGCGACAATTATACGATACTATTCTTATATATATTGGGCAGATCTGGCAGTCAGTTCCCTTTTTATAATAACATTTGAATTACTTTGGTATTTAATAATGGATCATACAAAGATATTGACAAAGAATGGAAGTTTTTCAAATGATACTCAGTCAATCAATGAGTCACCAACTAAATTACCAGCATGGGAAACTGAATCTATCATAGCGAACCTAATCCTGGCTTTTACAACATTTGTACATGTAAGAATATATTTTAAATAATTTATCATTCTATTATTAAAAATTTCACAAACTAATTAATTTTGATCATTCACATTGGCAATTTTACTAGATTTATTTTGCATTGGTAGTTCACAGCTATGCACGCTTGGGGGAAAAACAATATTCAATTATTAGAACGTCAGAATATTCTACACCAATGATATCATCTTTAGGAATGGCTTTGTTAAAACCTCCAAGTCCTTCAATTACTAAGGAAGAAGAACAAATATGATTTTTCGTTATAAAGTCACTGATGTATTTAGTATAAGTTATGCTCATTATTGACTCCAAAGGCAGGAACCTTATCCGTTAAAATAAAATGTACAATACTATTTATTCAAATAAATTTACGATTCATAAATTAATTATTCATAAATTGACTATAGTCTGATTCAAATTATGTAATATGTCTCTTTATTGAGAATTCGCGATCATTATTAATATGAAACTGTATTATTGGAGTTTACGTGAATTAACGTGTTGCAGTTGGACAAAATTCCATAGGTCCCTTATAGTATCCATGTTACATTTCACAAGTCAAAAATAAAAAACTCGTCCGAAACAAATATTACAAAAATATTTCTCCCTTAAATCCAATAAGGATTATTGAATAATCAATTTTCAAATAATTTATTTGTTTCTTCTTCAAATTAAGTAAAGTTATAAAAAGCAAATAAATGTAAATTGTACAAAATTTTACGCTGTTATTTAAATGGTAACCTTTCGAAGTTTCATAGTATTTCTTTAACCATTTTTCAAATTTTCATGTTACTGTATACATTTAAACTTGATAACGAATTTCAATCTTTTAATAAGAATGAATTTCATTAAAATTGAGTACACACAATATACCAATTTTAAACCGGGGAATTACACTAATTAATCCGATTATCATATTTGGTGATCAAACAAGTCTCTATCATTCTGTTTCACATATTTGGCTTTTTTATTAAACCTTATCAAAATTCATTCTTGATCATTGCGTTGCAAGATATTCTTTTAAATTAACACAATTTTTGATTTTTAAAAAAAAATTTAACGAATAATTTCAACATAAATTGCTTTACTTTTTTGTATAAAAATCGCCTAATATATATACATTATAGATTTCGAATTAAAAGTACACTTTAATATAATGATAAATTAGCTGATTATCATAAGATCGAAATAGATCGAAAAGTAAATATTTATATTGTATATATTTTACAAAATTAATATTGTAAAACGGAACTAAAATTGATCTATAATCCATTTTAAGATGAACACTGTAACTACATCTAAAATCCAATACTTACCTTAATAATTCTAAGTCAAATTCAATTTCCATTTACACATTGCGAAAGAAAATCTGGGGATTATAACAGATCATTATTCACAGTTCTATGGTTGGATCAGTGAAAAAAAAAATAAGTTTTCCAGCAACACTTTTTTTTTCGATAAATCGAGGGAAATAACAGGCTTTCCTTTTCATTAACTAATGATTATAAGTCATTGAATAATCATCATGACATTATACAAAATGAAAAATAATGCCCTGAAATTACAGCAGATTAGTAACCAGAATTGCACGATATGAGGATGCATGGCACCTATTTTAAAAACTGTGGCGGATTAAATGGTCATAGTGTAAAATAGACAAGCCACCGAAAAATAAAAATTTTTTGGTGCATTTTTTTTTAGGGTTAGGATTAAGGTTTAGGGGTAGAATTTATAATAACACAAATAGAACCCGCGATTTCATTACTGCATTATGATCCACGATTTACACGATATAGGCTAGCGTAGATCTTTCCATCACATCCCGATGTTACACGACTAGTATTATTCTGTGTGTTTGCGAAATATGAACATGGACCAATGGACATGGACATTTATGGATTATGTCAATATTGTCCATATTTTTTTCAATAAAACACGTGAGCTCACTGTTCCGAAATGTAGCAATATTCCGAAATATTCTGAAGCTTTCGGCAAAGAAGACATGGACATGAAATTATTTGTCCAAGCCAAATAAAATCTTTATTGGACATAATTCAAATGCCAACACTGGGTATTATGTGGGGTGTAAAATACCCATTTTAAATACGTTATATTATGATTAAAAATTAGTTTCTGTCGCTTATCATAAATAATGAAATGTTCTACTTGATCCTTTAAAACCCACATGCTTGTTTATTATAAATTTTGCCCCTAATAAATCTTAATCCTAACCCTGAAAAAAATGCCAACAAAAGAATACACACAGTTTTCTGTGGTTTGTCTATTTTACACTATCACTCATCTTATTTTAATCTGACTTCATTTTAATCCGTCACAAATATTCCTGCAGTGGAAGTTGTGTAAATTTCTTGAGATGAGAAAATATGCTTGAGCATAGTTTTCCGTGTATCTTTGGAAGGAAATTTATCCAAACGAGTCAATGATGACTGCAGATATATATAAAATAGCTTTGAATTTGACCTAATTGAATTAAGAATAGAATTCTCCCTGATTCTTCACATAATAAATAAGGATTTCTGGATATCTTCTTATTTTAAACCGTGGGTATACTTTTGTTGTGATTGATAAGCCATGGGTAGATTCATTCGTACCTTGTTTGCTTCGCGCACTGCTGTTCATGATTTTTAAGATTAGGGCTTAGTATTAAGTATTGATATTTTAGTGTTAGCATTATTTTGAGTATAGGTCTATATATAGATACGCTTACCACTCGCACAAAACTAGGACATTGCTGAAAGTAAATCGAAAATAAAGCTTGCTGCAACAGACAATATAATATAATGGTGCCGTTGAGGATTTCCTTTAGTATAGGTGGGCAATATATCCTATTTTGAGCTAATATAAATTATAACCCTCACCCTAACCCTAACTATTTATAAATTTGCTTATATTAGTTCAAATAGCTATTTTATAATAATTCTATATTGCCCACCTATACTAAAGATTAACACAAACGATAATAAACATATAGACTACTCCAGTTTAAACCTGGAATAGCTTATATATTATATTTTATTATAGCTTGGAATACTCCATCCTTGATATTTGTAAAGTAAGGCCGTTCGAAGTTGATTCTTCGGTTAACATCATCCCCCCCGCTGAAGCCCCCCCCGATAAACGAACAACCAATCAAAACGCTGGATTACTCTCGCCAATTACTTGACTTACGCCGACCAATGAAATTGGCCCATTTTTATATGTCCGTTTCATTTTACTCCCCTCCCCCCTCCCAAGAGTTCTAAAGGTGATGTTAACCGAAGAATTAACTTCGAACGGCCTAATATCATTTTGCCAAACTGAATCAAAGTCAATTGGAAAGTTTACGTACGTACGCTGTAATTCCCTGTCTCTCTAGTAAAAGTAATTTAGCTCATCACATTCACACTATACCTATGTTGGCGTGTCATCTGGTGCACCATATTGGCGTCGCCAGAGACTTTAGTGCTTTTCTATAAAGCTACAATAATTTCTAAATTTTAATTAAGAACAGTGCATAAATGGCAGTTTCATGTGATATTTTGATTTTTTGCTGATCTTGGAATATTATTGGCTGATAAACAAGCGCAGGAAATGTCAGTATGGATATGAACTGCTAATTTCTTAAATAAAAGGTTTTACGCTTTTTTGGGGGGTTTAATAGGGTCCTGTGAAGTTAAGATATATTGTCACTTCTAATTTAATACATTTAAGTAAATATAATATCAACTGTGATGAAATTTGAAATACATTATTTATTGTTGGGGAAGATGCTGAAATTTAAGGTCTCTATTTAAAAATATAAACCTACTAAAACCCACCTCTTTAATTACAAACCCTAACCTTAAATCTAAATCAAACCCAGAAATATATACATATATATATATAAAGAACACCCCAGAAAAATTTTAAAATTTCATATTCAAATTTCAGCATTATCCGATTTCAGCATATTTCCAGACATTTATTAGGATTGGAATCGTTTAACCGCATAAAAATAGTTCCATGATTTCAGGCAGAATTACATTGGTCATGGTTCAAAATTATCTTAAACGGTTGACAAGGTTAAACGATTAGCGTTAGCTCTACTCATTAAGAGGCTGATCTGTCTTAATATTACTTTGAAAATGAAATATTTACTAGTATATTAAATGATTCTGAGAATAGAATTCCGAGAAATTATAGATGAATTTTTTTTTAAATAATCGGAAACGTTTCTATATTAGCTATATACAAGTTTAAGCACAACTATGTAATAAACAAATGAAGTTAAGAAACAAATCTTACATAATTTTAATATAATGACTTTTTTCTTTTTCTTATTTCAATGTTATATTTATAATTAATATTTTTAATTATCTAATTATAAATTTGAGTGCGTGAGAGTGAAAATCTGCATATAATGATTTACTATGATAATTTTCAGGTTTTCACTCTCACGCACTCATTTATAAATATCATAATTATTAAATTGATTACTTTTTTTAAAGTATCTTTAAATATTTGTAGACACGTATTATAAATACACACACATATATATATCTTTTATATACTCTCTATTATTGTTTTCTAAATTTTGGCTCTACTATTAATTACACAATAATACTTCTTATAAATGCATACTTACAATAAAGTCAATTCTAAAAAAATGCATAAATAGTAGTTTAAGTATACAATACTGAACAAATTGTTGAATAACGGTAATTTGGAAAATGGGCACGTGTCGCAAAGCGGTGCAGATCAACCAATCATTTGTCAAATTTCCGTATTCGACAATTACCCAGTATCGGTATTGGCAATGAATAAACATGATTACATTGTAATACATGAAAATATAGTAAGGAATATTTTCATGGCCATATGAGTTCGCCGGGTAACCATACGAAGTGCCAATAACTGAGGTATTTGTAGAATGTGATTTGATTGGTCGATTTTAAGCACCGAAGGTGCGCAAAATTTGACCAATAAGATCATATGTGCAAAAACTGGTAAGGTAGATGTTAGCAATTTTTTGTGGCAAACAGTTTTTTGGCCGTTGACCGGTCAATTGGTTGGCAATTGGCCAATAGTCAAACTTTGGTCAAAAGTTTCTAATTTATATAATATTAACCATCAAATTACTAGCTTTGCTATTCAAAACATTTGGCTATTTCGGCCAATTAGTTTTCTTGCCCTTTTCGGCCATTGGCCGTGGCCAATGGCTGGCCAAGTAGCCAAGTGACAAATTGCGATAAAGTACCATGCAAATAGTGTTAT